AACTGACTACTTGCTATGTGTCCCATTAATTTCTGAAACACTAAAAATATCTGTCTTCAACACTAATGAACTGCAGCATTGCAAACAAGAATCTTGGCTGCATAAATAAACAGAAAATGACATGTTTAAAAAGTGTTGTATGACAAGATCTGGTTAGAGCAGAGAAGAACTTTGGCCAGTTATCAGCCTGACAACACACACCATGTTGATATTCCACGAAAAAAAAAAGATTGCAATGGAGAACTCAGAGGGAGACTAATGATGTTTTACTCCTGCAGAACTAAAAACTAAACAAACAGGAGGGAAAAAAAAAAAAAAAAAAAAAAAAAAAAAAAAAAAAAAAAAAAAAAAAAAAAAAAAAAAAAAAAAGAGAAAAAAATAAAAAGAAAGTACTCAACCAGCTACATTTTCCTTTGGACAGTAGACAGAGATCTAGAATAAAGAATCTGCAACGTAAACCAGCACCTGAATCTGTGTTTGAGGATTTAATCACTAACAGCAAAACAAAGTGTTGAGAAAGAAAGAAGGGAATACTGTGGATCCCTCCCTCCTTCACCTATATTTTACTAATGCACACACAAATGCACAAACATACAAACTTATTAGGAGCTGAATAATCCAGTGCTGAAGGAGTCATTAGAAAACAATATACTCTTTCTCCCTTATGCCTAGTGAAAACGACACAGTTTTGATAAATGGTAATTTTGGATTAAAAACTGACTTTCGGATAGATAGAACAAGATGCTCCCCCTGCTGCCTTTTTAAGTTATAGGTTCTCCACTTTAACCTAACAGTTAAGCACTGAATGAAGACACACAAACACTGTGCAATTAAGTCAAATAGAAAGAATAGGGGGGACTGATACAGCTGCATTGATCAGAAAAAAACCAGAAAGCTCATATTTTATAGCATCTGAGCACAAATCACAATAGAATTATTTTAATTGGGAAATGCTACTGAAATAAAATTGTCATCCTTTTTTGGCTATTTAATTTATGCAGATCTCAGGGCTGCTGATGATGTATGATCAGACATACTGCTTTTAATCAGATAGTCAGATTTAATACAATTACAATTTTGAATGTAAAGCCACTGCTTTTTTATTCAAATGAATTTCAAAATACAGAATTTTAACACTAACACCTATTAGCTTTTTTGCAAAGGGGAAGAACATGACGTCATTGTGTTTCTTTATGAAGTAATCAGTTAGGAATAACAGCAAAAATCAGCCTTTGCATGACAGTAACTACATTTTGCATTAATTTGAAAAAAGTGTAACGTATTAGGAGAAGATCCATTTCTTTTAGAAAACTGTATTATGTGAGAGAAAATAAAAACAACACATTTTATATTAGGTAATATATCATAACTTAATACATCATTACAAAGTACATCATTATCCTGAAAAAAACCCTGTTTCTTCTTCATGTGATAGCTGAGAGAATACCAGAGCCTCACACTCAGTCTTTTTCTCTTCTTTCAAATGGTAAATGTTTTGTCAAGTGATGAGCGATGCAGTATGTTGCAAGGAGAGGCTCTTTTTGTCTAGAGAGGTAATGCCATGTAAAGATATTTCTAGGAAAAAGATATGAATGTGCTGGTGTAAAATGAAATTTCTGCTGTTCACTTTACAGCGCCAAACAGGTGCTACTTGTTCATGTTCATTTACGTGCAATTCAAGGCATAGTAAGTACGTGATAGGAAAATTTTCATCAGAAAAATGAGACCTTCACATAATTTACATGGACAGAAATAATTTACATTATTTCTGTTCTGTTATTCTTCATGTGTATGATCTCAGAGATGAGGGGAGTAGGACATTTGCTACCACTGTTTACAAGAACAGCCTTTAAATTTGTTTGAAGATAGCTAGTGTTTACCCTAGATCCCATAAAAGCTTTTATCTTCCTCAAATACTCTCCATTGAGCTAGAATTTATGTAAAGTAAATTTGATTATTAAAAAAGCTGTTAAACACAACTCAGCTCTTTCTTAGCACTCAGAGCAAACATATCACAATTACTCTCTGTGCTGCATGCAAAAGAACAGTTTGACCCAAAGCTTTTTAAAGAGAAGGGAAAGAAAAACATTGATTTCCAATGGGCTCTGGCTTTGCCTGGAACCAAGTGCTCTATTGGTGCTTAGTAAATTGATGCGCAGATCCTATGTGTCATCACAGCAATGTTCCAACAGAAATAAAGTCAGAGTACTGTCCAAATAACTGTTACAAAATGTGTCATTTATGTGTCACTGTGCTTAATGTTCAGATGATTCCTGGGCTAACAGACAGTGAATGTTCACGGGCAGGCCGTCTTCTGACTTATGTAGGTCATTTAGGTAAAAGAAAATGCTCTTCAACTGACATTCATCATTTAAGGAGGCATATTACGGGATTTTTTTAAAGCATATTTCTTAGGGTGCTTGACCTCTGGCTAAGATCTCTTAGGAGTTGTTCTTTCCACTTAATATTGCAACAATTTGCTCTAATATTAGAATCAAATTCTCTAAAATATTTTTGCTGATGTTCCTTCACTCCCTATTCAAGTTATTGAATCTGTGAGTCTGTAATTGTTTTGTTGGTTTTTTTTTTCAATTTACTGTCTTTTTCGTATTTCTGTTACTTGATCATTAAGAATTTCACATTTCACCCATACAAAAATGATTCCTTCCCCTGGGCAGCCTGTTCCAATGCTTGATAATCCCTTCAGTGAAGAAATTTTTCCTAATACCCAAACATAATATCCTAAACCTTCCCTGGTACAATCTGAGGCCATTTCCTCTTGTCCTGTAACTTTTTACCTGGGAGAAATGACTCAACCCCACCCAGCTATCCCCTCCTGTCAGGGAGCTGCAGAGAGCAAGAAGGTCCCCCCTGAGCCTCCTTTTCTCCAGGTTGAACCCCCACAGCTCCCTCAGCCACTCCTGGTGCTCCAGACCCTTCCCCACCTCCGTTCCATTCCCTGGACACGCTCCAGCCCCTCAATGTCTCTCTTGTCTGAGGGGCCCAGAACTGTCCCCAGCACTGGAGGTGTGGCCCCAGCAGTTCCAGCACAGGGCCGGGCACTGCCCTGGGCCTGTGGCACCCCATGGCTGGGACAGCGCAGGGGCCATTGGCCTCTTGCCCACCTGGGCACACCTGGGATCATGTCCAGCCGCTGTTGCCAGCATCAGAGCTGGGGTTATTTAGCCTGGAGAAGAGGAGCTTCAAGGCTTCAAGGAAATCTTGAAGCAGCTTCCAGTACCAAAAGGGGTCCTACAGGAAGGCTTGAGAAGAACGTTTTGCAAGGGCAAGCAGTAACAGGACAAGAGGCGTGGCTTTAAGCTGAAAAAGGGTAGATTTAACCCAGATATTAGGAAGAAATTCTTAACTATGAAGGTGGGGAGGCATAGGTTGCCTCATGTGAGGCAAATCACATGATAAATGACAAATCACTCTGAAACCAGAAAAACAAACAAACAAAATGAAAAACAAACCACAGCGAGAGTACCTCTTGACTTCAGAAGCAATTCTGTTTAAATCAATTGACCACTTTGGGAACTGTGTGCCTGTCTCCTCCAGGTTACTCTGGGAATTTCAGACACATATCCCAAAGGCAGCTAGACTTGCTTTTGGATCAAGAGGGATAAAATTACTCTGAGACCTGAGATATCAAGAGCATGCTTATCTCTTTACCTAAGCCTGCCTCTGTCTTCCTCCCACCCTTTCTCAAAAAGTGAAAGTCAGGAAATCAGGAATTGCCAGTTCAGCAATTCCCTTCTGTAAGGCTTGACAGGTCTGTCCTATACCAGTGCCAAACCCCAATGCCTGATACTGGATGTTCTGATTCTGAGAAAAAGAATGAGCAGCCAGTGTCAGCTGCCAGCACTACATCTCTGTTCAGCACGAGTGATTAACACTGTGGTTGAAAATGAGTCACTAGGATCCAGAGCTGGTCAACCCTCCTGCTAATTTAAATGCTAGTTAATTAGATATGCCATATCAGCAGGATAGGATTGCTCTCCTGGAAAGCCTTCCCACTATATACTACAATTCTCAAAGCACAAATGAAGAGGGGAACCTGACTTGAGACTATACACCAAAGAATTTGTGTCCCACCCTCAGCCTAGGAACAAAGACAACCAAAATTCTGATGGAAATATAGACACTAAAGGAACGTGAGCCTACAGCTTTAATTCCCCAGCAGTAAACACTTGCTGTATATTATTTAAAACTTTTCTGGAGGAAGGAATTCGAACACACCTGACAACTGAAACATTTCACAGTAATCAAATGGAGCTCCCAGAGCTAAGAAAGTCACAGTACACCAATTTTTATGCCAGGGCCACCTCTCATGACCAAACATCATGGTCAAGTACCTGTCACAATGGGAGGGACAAAAAGCTCACAGGTTCAGACAACAGTGTGGCAATTCATTTCAGTGGAGAAAGCATTCTCCCTGGATCTACCAGCTCGATAACTTATTTCAATCAATCTCTTTCCTGCTTTTATTGAAACTCGTGTTAATTTGAGTGTATTTCCAACTCAATTTGGAGTTATTCATATACTCAAAAATTCTTTCTCTTTGTTTCCTCTTTTTCTTTCTCTTTCCTTTCCTTCCTTCCCCTCTCCATCTTTAATTTTCTTTCTCCCTATCCGTTTTTAACTCCCTTTCTCTCTCCCCTTTCATCCTTTTACCCTCATTTTATTCACTCGTTTTATCCAAAAACCCCCTGTCATGCCCTTATATAGCAGCTTCGGGACTAACAGACCGATTTCCACGTCAAATCCCTAATTTACTAATAAAACTTCTTGGTTTTGGGGTTTTTGTGTGTGTGTGTGTGTGTGTTTTGTTTTTTTTTTCTTTCTTTCCGATTTTTCCCGCTCCTTTCCCCCACGACCGTTCGGGAATCGTAGAGCACTTCCTTCCCTTCCAGGGTTCACGTCACAGCCGGTGCTGCCCCGCGGGGCCGGGCCCGCCGCCCGCGCGTTCCGGCGGAGCCCCGCGGGCAGGAGGTGGGTGAGCCGAGCCCGGCCCGGGCAGCGGGGGAGCCCGGCCCCGGCACCGTTCGCCGGGAACCCCCCGGCACCGGCGGCGGTCCCGGCACGTGATTCCTCGGGATGAGGTTCCCTCAGGGAGGACTCCTCTGTGCTGATGGGCTCCGGCTCCTTCTCTCTGCCGGGGGGATTTGCTGATTTGGAAGTATCATCAGCAGCAGCCGAGGGTTGCTGTTACAGGAGGTGATGGGGAGGCTTCTGGATACACTTTGTGCCCGGCTGGGCTCGCCCCCGGTCCTTGGATCATTTAGCTGGAAACCTTCCAAATAGAGATGTTGAAAAGTTATTATTGTTGTTGTTATTACTATTAATTTACTGTATATATGAGATATACTACCTATATGTACCAAATATATATACTAAATACATTATATATACTATTAAAGTATATAATAATAATATATATTATAGTATACATAGGAGCTATATAATACTTTATACTATAGTATATATTGTATATAGTAATGCATAGTGTATATATAAAAGTACATAGTATATTTTAGAGTATATATACTATATAGTAGTAGTATATGTTATGGTATATAGTAATATATAGTATATATTATAGTATAATAGGTATAGTATAATTACATATTATACATATTACATTATTATCTGTTGTATATAGTATACAATATTATTATTATAAATATATAATACACATTTTATATATTACATAGTATATTATCCTGGATTGTGTATTACAATATACTAATGTACAATGTTGTCTAATATTAACATAATTAATACAACAGTGTTAATATATGTGCTACAGTTTACTAATAATGTATTGATAGCATCATAATTATTCTACTGATGCTATTAATATATATTAAGACTTTAAAAATCTTATTCATATTATGTAATATAATACATAATATAATATGTTGAAATACTATATAGTTATATACTGTATAGTTGTATATAACATGTGATTTATATATTATATCCATTATACTATTCCTACTATTGTCTTCAAAACTCTATTATAACTTTATGTTATGGTAGCAGTTTGTTCTTTATGCAAATTCTGTCTAGTCTTCAGAAAAGGCCATTAGAGCAGCCTACCAGATGTTATTCAACTTGTCTGAAATTGGGAGTAAGTCCTTGGACCACAGTCTGTGATGGATACCTGTAGAGGGATCACTCTAAAAAATGTGCTGCACCTTGGGACGGAATGACACGTTTATCTTTTCTGGAGTGGAATGCAGTGCTTGTGGCATTTGCCCTAAGCTACTGTACTGTGGCGGAAAGAATGCATGGAAACATGCACCACCTCAGAGAAATAAGTGGTATTACTGATGATTTTGAATTTTGAGTTGATGTAAGAACCTCATTCTCCCTGATCAACCTTACAGTTATGTGCATGTGCAAAAAGATCCTCCTGTATTCTGCAGGCCTCCTCTGAAAGATTAGTGGGGTAAAAGCCTTGTGAGGATCTCCAGAGCTGCAGGATTTGGTGTCTTCACCCACGTGTGCTTCTCAGTCTGTTGTTGTGGCACTTTATTTTCTTGTTCAGCATTTCCCTGGTAGGTAACCAAAAGCAGGCTGCCAGGAAGTTTGTTTTCCTTGATGGCCATTGCTGGTTTTGAGTGAGGAATGACAGGAGACAGGTATTTTAAACCACCACTGGTCTAGGCAATCTGATATTTGCCCCCACTTGCTTTCGCCATTCTCTTTCAGTTGTTAGTCCTTCCTTATACTACTAAAAGGTACATACTTGGAGAAAAAAATCACCCATTCTTGTCTTTCTTAGATTGATGCTAAGATAAAGTTTATACAGATAATTAAATAATGGCTAGCTTTAATGTCACATTTTATTTTTCCAACAGATGAGGATTTATTGGTTCATGGAAATTCTGTTAACAGGAAATTAGTCCAATTTGGCTTTGCAAAACAGAGCACGGGCCAAGTCCAGACTCCAAAGCATCATTTGTTAAATCATTCTGTAGCATTGTAGTATAGGGGAAGGTAAGTTCTCAAATTTGAGAGCATCCTTCTTTAATTTATGTATTTATTCTTTTTTTTTTCTCAAACAGATCTTTATAGTCACATGGAGGGAGTCTAAAGAGAGATCCAAAATAATCGTGTATCAGATTTTGTGCAGTAGGTTTGCCTGATGCGTAATTGGAGATTTGCTTATACCAGCTCTTGACCAATAGCAATGCCACAAGTATAGGGTTAAATCATTCACAGTACTAAAACCTGTCAATGTTTGTGCAAAACCACTGATAGCCGGCTTTATCCATGACCTTTTAGCTAAATTCAGTAAAATAAGATTAGTAAATTCTGCTGAAAAAAATTTTTATGGGGGCAGAACTTTAGTCCAGGTTAAAATGCAGCAGATCTGACTCCTTGCCATCCTAATGATGCTGCCAGGGAAGTCAGGCTGCATCATCTGCACTGTGGGAATATGATGCCATCTGACAGTGTCTCACCTTCCCTCAGGGTTGAGATGTTTCAGGCTGCTTTTTGCTTGTGGAAGAGCAGAGCATGGCTGGGGCCTGGATGGAGAGTGGCGTCAGTTTTATGAATCAGGATTAGTCCATCGAGCCATTCTATTTCGGTGAATAAACAGGACTCTGTTTTCCTTAGGTTATTTATAAAAAAACATTCAACCAGTCTTATGCTAACCCTGAAAACAGCACATTCTTCCCTCACTGGTAGTACTGGTCTGTGAAGATGTGCTGCTGAATTCCAAAGGTAGTGTTGCTTGTAATTATATAAAATTGGTAAGGAAGTAAGGTGCTGCTAGCTGATTTCTTTCTATGAGATCTTGAAGCTTAGGTACTAATGCTGTTTTATTTGTTCCCCTCTACATAATGTTTTGGTAGGAATTGTCGCCTGTACTCCAGTTTACCAGAAGATGCATGTTTCAAAAATAGGGTATATGGGACTGAACCAGAGCCATTTTATACACGTGTGTCAGGGAGAATGTGATATTTGGAAATCTGGAGTATGTTCATTCTGCTGTCCACAAAACAATTTGAGACCGCTTTCCTTGTTTTGAAAGCACAAAATTTGGCTTGCTAGGCTGGCAACAAAAGCATCCATGAAAAAATGTTCAGAAAGCAGACTATTTGTTTTTGCATTTTTATCTTGCATGTGAGCAGGGCAACGTGCTGCAAATGTTTTATGCCAAAACCTCATCTGTCCTGGACATCTGTTATGGACTTAAAACTTCCTAAGTATGACTGAGACTGAGGCTCTTACTGTCATCAAGTTTTGCATTTTTCCAAAGGATTTCAAGTTTATTTTTGTATTTAATACGTAAAATCCCAGGTAGTTTCCAGATTTCCACCTGGCTAAGTAAAATAATCCAGTAGCTGCCAAGGACTGTGACCTTTGGCAGTGAGTGCTGTGCCAGTCACTTGCGGTGACAGGAAGCTGTTCTGACTAGTACGAAAGAACCTTTTCTGTCTGAAAATAAACAGTAAAGCCAAATCCTGCATGTTGCAGAATACTCTTCCTTAGTGGTTACACTGGCTAAACTGTCCTCTGTAAAACAAAGCTTTGTAATATTAGTACTGAGAGATTCAGTGAATCCACGGGGCTCTTTTTTACTGTACATCTTAAAATGTGCTTACCAGCTGCAATGTGGTCCTGCTCACACTTAAGCTTGTTTAAACTTGTGACATTATGTAGTGGTTTTGGGGTTGCCTTTAGTAGAACTACAGGGAACTTCTGTGCCTGAACAGAAGCAGTTTGGCTGTGTGTAAAAGTGAGTTGATTTTCCCAGTGTAAATTCGGTATCGGTTGTCATGTCTGATGAGTCTCCATGCAGAGACTCCCTTCTGCTTCTCCATTTTTCGCCTTTCAGTCCTAAAATGCCTTGTAAAGTTCACGTTAAGACAAAAGTCTTCAGGAAGCACAGGTGTTATTAGTGTTATTATGAACAGGTGACTTCAAGACTCCAGTATGGCACTCTTCAATAACATTAAATTTACGTAAACTCTTTAAATCACAAACCCATATATAACTTTCATAAATTAATTTTCTGTTGCAGGAAAGATGCAATGCTATACATACTTTTAATATTACCAGGTTAAACTGTCTCAGCTGTAGCTTTTTGTTCACTGCAGAAAGCACTATATTAATATTCTGATTAGGTACAGATTAGTTTTTTTATGGAATAATTTGAGTAAGTAGAATATGTTAGGCACTGCAGCAAGATTACAGAGGTTCAAAGCACAGCACTTTGCATTTTTAAATATGTAATTCTAACTGACATCTGTGCTGTTGAAACAGCATGATGCATTTATGTCAGCATTTGTGTTGGGGAATTTAAAAGAGGCATTCCAACAAGAAAACAGAGGTGTTTTGGTTTTGGGGGATTTTTTTTCATGGAACTGCACTTTTTGAGTGACACAGTGTTTCTGGCCTGCTACATAGTAAACCATCTGTCTGATGAACGTGTTGATACTGTGAGCATAAAAGTCACGGGAAAATAGTTTGATTGTTATTTTAGAACTGCGATTGTATCACATTTGTCTTAACATGAAATTTCATGAGCTATAACTTATGACAAAACAAACATTTTATTTTTGCCTGAACAGGATGATGGTGCTTTGTTTTCTGAGCAGAACACTGCAGCTAGCAAGACATTCATCCAGTCCACTGGGGAGGCAGCTCTGCTCAACCACCGCGAAGAAGCCTGTGCTGACTTTATTCACCAAGGTAAAAGCTGTTTACAGAATAAAGCCAGGCAAGACTATGTGTTTATTAGCTTTGATATACCTGAATCACAGGTTAAATGGCTTGTCCTTGCTTTTTGTCCTCTTCAAATTTATGTAGTATTGAGTATTTTGTTTTGCTGGTTTCTGTATGCCAGGCAGAAGCACTAACAATTTCAGCACTACCTGTCAGCCTGTAAGATATCTCCAAATAGTGCTGGTAGCACATGAGGAAAGAGTGGATTTTGCTTTACCCTCTTTTTGGTTTTTTGGCAGTGTAGTACCAACAGATGCAATGCAGGCAAAGGTTTGTCTGTGTCATGAGCAGCCACGATTTTTAAGAGCATTTAGAAAACAAATATGATGAGCAGGAGTGGTCATTTGTGAACTGTCACATTCCATGAATTTTTATCAGTTGTTATCTGCAGAGTTCTGCACTTTATTGTGAAGGATGGCACACAGCAGGTCTTGCTATGTTGACATGATTCTCCTTCAAGAGCAGGATTTTTGGAAATGCAAAGCACTGAGAATGTTCACATCATTATGAGTGTTTTGAATGTTTGTTCATTCCATCACTAAACATACAGTGTATGTTTAGTGTATGTGTAAAAAATTAATAGATTGAAAAATAAAAGGTCACAATCTATTCCTTACTCAGAGCAATGCATGATATAAAACTATACTTTAAACTATACTTTCTCTCCCCCTGCCTGATTCAGCATCAACTCATTGATAGTCCAAATGAGATAAGGTAGAGAATAATGATCTTATGTGGGTTATATTTGGGGAAAAAAAGCTCTTTGTGTCTTAAAATTTTTAACTAGTAATTGATTATGAAATCAGATTTTCTAATAGCAGATTTTGCGCAGTTCCCTAAAGTGGCTTTTTGTTGAAAGTGTTTTAAAATGTTTTTCATCCCTGATACCACTGGCAATTGCAAAGCAAAATGCAAACTACTTTAAAGTAAAGCTCATCTGCACTGTTAGTTTATGCTAATCACCCCTTTTTTTTACTCCTTCTTATTTTTAAGAATAAAGAGAAAAGAGAAGGCAGAAGGCACCTATGTCTTCTTCATCCACTTCAAACTGATAAAAGTTAGGACTACCAAATAGGCTTCCCCTTGCAGTCTCCTTTTTTGACAACACAAGCATTTGTACAGCAACTGCTTCAACAAATTTTTTTTTTTTTTGCAAGGTTGCTGTTAGCTCAGATCAAGTCTCCTGTTTTGCTTTACTGTGCAGCTGTTTGAGTGCTTAACCAGCACAAAAGAACCAGTGACAGCTTAAAATGGCCACAAAACTTATAGTCTAACTATGCAGCATAAATGGCAGTTATCTGCAGAAATAAAACTGTCCTTCCACCGTGTGTGTTATGTAACAGATCTAGTTGTCAGCCAGCGTATGTTAGTTTGGGAAGGGATTTTTACTACCTGAGCAATAAAAGTCCCTTTTGCCACTGTAATATATAGAAGGTTGTCCAAAACATCTTCATCTAGGAAGCCCAATTACAAATCAATATAACGGAAGTGATGTCAGAAACTGTTGCACTCTTCTACTGAAAATATGCACTAATATAAATTGACTTTTTAAACAGATTTTGCTGTTTGTTAGTTCACGATATATTGATTTTTAGTTTGCTATATATTGATTTTAAACCAGTTCCAATCTTATCAATACCATGTAGTTCCTAAGCTTGCCGTGAGAGTAAGAGCATATTCTTTCCTAGAAATTCTTGAAAGGAGCCTGGCATGTTACAGAACCGATGTGCAGGATTCTGTGACGTTCCTTCCAGTCACTAATATCAGATATACCAGTCCCTCCAAAACCAACAAGAACTATTAAGAACGCAGTGCTGCTGGTCTTTGTTATCCTGCATTGGCTTTCGGAGCACAAGGACTTGCCTGTGTGGGAAAGACAGTTCAGATTATATGCGAATAAAAGTAGAGTATTTAATCCAAAGTAATTCATGTGCAGGAAGTAAGAAATAGGTGTTTCAGGTCATGTTTAAAGAAGCTCTGGTGTAGGTGGTTGGTAGTGGGGAGGGACCCTGTATTTGTAATGATCACTCCTGTCTGTGTATGTTACTTTGCTGTACAAATGACCTGTGTGTTTTACCTATATGCTTTAAGTTGCTCTGAATATTTTCCTTTAGAAACCATGCCCTCTATGTGATGAAGCGAAAGAAGTTCTTGAGCCATATAAGAGAAGGGTAATGTATCGCAATGCTGTATAAGCTTTCTATATATAGAAAGAACCGTTAATTGGGATTTTTTCTTTGTAAAAGAAAATTGCTTGGATTTATTTGCACCTGTTATTCTTTCATGGATGACCTCTTCAAGAGAATTTCAGCACTGATTTCCATAAAACTCATTTTTCAGCACTGATTTCCATAAAACTCATTATCCAAAAGCATTTTGAAACAAAACTGCTGAAATAAGTATTGGCAAACTAAACAAATATAAACCTTTTTGCAATAGTTCTTGAAATCACTGCTTTTGTAAATACTGTTGCCTTGCCTGAAAGAGGAATTTGCAACTTTCATGAGGCAGGTAATGATATAATTTGGGAAGGATGTTAGTAAGTGGGGCTTTGAGTATTTTAAGTTATATGTGATTGCAATTTTGCCTTTCTTCAACCAGGTTTTGATCTCTCTCTTGAACGATAAGACTGTTAATGGAAGCATTAAGAGTTGTTTCACTCTGCTGTGTTGTTGGCTGCATATTTTGTTGTGGCTGGTGCTCATGGGAGAGTGGCTCTGCACAGAGGAACAAGAATATAATCCTGAGCTAGGGAGGGAGTCCTTCGTGTTTACATATATTTTGTACTCATAAAATGAGGAATTATCTACAACAAAAAGAGTAAATCCAAAAGCATTAAGAAAACAACCTTGCATTTTTGAGAAAACTATTGATCAAAAGATAAACAGGCATTGTTTTTCAGTATCCAGTAGGAATTGACATATTTCTTTTTTGTCCCAGTTTATTTTGCAGGAGATAGATATTACACTTCCAGAGAACTCGGCATGGAATGATAAATACAAATATGACATACCTGTTTTTCATTTAAATGGGAAGTTCCTAATGAAGCATCGAGTGGACATTAAAAAGTTTGAGGACCAACTTACAAAATTGGAGTTGCAAAAATGATGAAAACCAGTGAAGAAAACGCAGCTGCTTTGGTGTGGATCTGAAAGGCCGGTGCAAAACATATTGTGCACTGTGTGGAAAACCAGTATGCATTATCTGGCCTTATGTTTCTTGGAACATACAGTGTCAGTGTCCAAAACACTTGAATGACTTGTGTTCTATTTTGTATTGTCACCTAGCCCAGCTGCACTGGTAGCAACCCTTTCCATACCATTCATTTGCAGCTCTTCTGGGCTGGCTTTGCACTGACAGAATAAATGCTGCTCCATAACAACAGATAAAGTGAACTGTGTTTGTATTGGGTTTCTGTGGCCAGGTTTTGGTAACTGGGGAGGCTACAGGGGTGGTTTCTGTCAGAAGCTCACAGAAGCTTCCCTCATATCCAGCAGACCTAATGCCAGCCAGCTCCATGACAGACCTGCTGCCAGCCAAGGCTGAGCCTGTCAGAGATGGTGGTGACATCTCTGGGATAACATATTTAAGAAGGGACAAAAACCTGCACAATGGCAGTGCAGCCAAAGAAGGGGTGAGAACATGTGAGAGGAACAACTCTGCAGACCTCTTGGTCAGCAGAAGGAGGGGCAGGAGGTGCTCCAGGTGCCAGAGCTGAGGTTCCCCTGCAACCTGTGGTGCAGCCTATGGTGAGGCAGCTGTGCCCCTGCAGCCCATGGAAGCTGACACATCCACCTGCAGCCAGTGGAGGACCCCACAATAGAGGAGGTGGATGCATCTGAAGGAGTCTGTGACCTTGTGAGAAGCCTGTACTGGAGCAGGTTTCCTGGCAGGACCTGTGACATTGTGGGGGACCCACACTGGAGTGGTCTGTTCCTGAAGGACTGCACCCTGTGGAAAGGCACCAGTGCTGGAATAGTTTGTGAGGAGCTGCAGCCTGTGGGAAGGACTCACTCTGAAGAAGTTGGTGGAGGAGTGTCTCCCAAGGGTGGGACCCCACACTGGAGCAGGGGAAGAGTCTGAGGAGGAAAGAGCAACAGAGACAATATGTGACAAAATGGCCACAATCCCCATTCTCTGTCTCCCTGCACCACTGAGAAAGTAGGGAGTAATGTTAAGTCTGGGAACACGGGAGGGGTGGGAGGAAGGTGCTTTTCAGATTTTTTTTTTCTCATTACCCTACTCTGATTTGATTGGTAATAAACTAATTTCTCTAAGTCAAGTCTGTTTTGCCGGTGACAGGAATTGGTGAGTGATCTTTCTGTTTCCTCATCTCAGCCCACAAGCCTTTAGTTGTATGTTCTCTCTCCCCTGTCCAGCTGGTGAGGGAGCTCAGAGTGGCTTTGGTGGGCTTGTAGCATCCAGCCAGGATCAGTCCACCAATGTTTCAGGGTGGTTAGCACATGTAAGCTGTAGGTTTCTAAGAGGCTTCCTTGAAGAAGTCTAGGAGTCTATCCCAAGTTCTCATTTGAAATGAAGAAGAGGGAATTTAAGTTAAAAGGACACTTGATTCAAGACCATGCACTCACTGAATCAGAGTCATATCTATAGAACAATCACCACACTTTTGATACAGCTGTTACTAACATTTTAACACTGAATAATTTATTTTTCTTCTAGTGAGGTGAATATATGTTGCACTTTATATTACCTACTATAGGGAGCTTTGTCAGAAAAGAGCCATATTTCAGTTCTGTCTGCAGCAAAACTACACATCCATCTATCTCGTGGCAAGTGCCATTTCATCAAGGGTTACTACAGTTACCTTAGACATCATTGGCAACGCAGGGATGTGAAGTAGACAGAATGCCTAAGTTAAATATATATTTTCAGGAGGAGGAGAACTATAGATTGAGGAAAAGTCAACTAAGTATAATACTCTGTAATAAGCACTGGAGAAAGTTGCTGGTATTTCTGATCTGCTTAATAGATTCTCTGACATGGAAACTAATCCCTACATGCTGCATGTCTGTTCTTCCTATTGTTGTGATATTCAGTCTCCTCTCATCACTGGGAATTTAAAAATTCTTCACATAGGGAAGAATCCAGACACAATGCCCAGCTGGCACAGCAAACTGCAATACAGTAGAATTCATTATAGACTCTGAGTTTTGGAGAATGGTTTAATAAGAAGCCATCTATGGTGAAAATGGCTGTTCCTTTAGGGTCCCATCCTAGTGTCTTTAGCACTTGACAGATAATTTACAATCCAGTTCTGATGTATTCCACAAGATAAAAAATTTCTGGGCAGTGGGGAGTAAGAAATGAAAACTTTCTTCCAGTTTTATCAGCTTGAGTCCACTCAGGGCCTGAAACTATCCAAGATTTCCCAGGAGGGAGACCTGGGCCATTTTTATAGCAGAGAACTTCAGGCTGTGATGGTTGAAGGGGGACAGGGGAAAGGACACTGCTAGAGGTCTTGTCCTTTCACCCCTAGTCCGGGAGGGGGAAGTGCTCCTTCCCCCTCCCCCCCCACCACAAGGTGTCCCATGGCCCCTGCAGAGACCACAGGACATGGACAGCAGCAGGGAGCGAGGCAGAGAGAGTTTATTGTTCTGGGTAGCAACTTCAATACCTCCTGGGGGGGATTAAAAAGTGACCAGTGGGGATTTAGGAGGTCTTAAAATTAGCCAATGACAATAAGGGGTTAACAACCAATAAATGAGCTCTCAGTTATCTCTCAGACATTCCAAAGGTATAGGTAATACTGAGGAACCTTCGGAAGAAGGTGAGTTTACACAAAGAGTTACAAAGCCGTTTTGAAAGCATGTTCACTTTAAACAATAATAAAGTTTCTGCATCCTTTTATATACCGCAACATCAGGCAAGTTGAGCCAAATCATCCATCCATGGTGCTTTTCATCACCATTAGCAGGGCTCTAGAGACAAAAATTCTATACTTTCTACAGTTCTTAATGTTACAGCCAAACTTCTAACTGTACCACAAGTTACTGTTAAATAATAGGTCCAAATGACCTCTGTAAGCAAGCACCACTTGATTTTCTTGGGTTTCAGAGGGCCTAGGTTTTTCGTTACTGAGGTTTTGTAGTAAGAAAGCTACATAGAGCTCATGTCAATCATAGCTCAAGTGCTCTTCAAAAATACAGCAGCTTTATCTCAAAGATATGGAGGACAGGGGTCACGTGGACTTGCCTTTGTTTTATTTTTAATAAGACCTGTTTTGGTAAGAAAAAAATGGAAGCTAAAAGCAAACTTCTTAATCATTTTAGGAAATGATGAATCCCATTTTCCTTATTCTCTTAGACTGTGGAGATTTTCTTCTGTAGCCAGTGCCAGATATTCTTCCTCCTTTATTTTGTAATATGATTGCCATAATAGCTTTTGTCTATGGTGTGGACAGAGAAATGAAGGTTTTCGATTAGTTGTGTGGCTGTGGGTGCTAATAACATATACAGAGAAGTGGTGGCTACTTCTTCCAACCCTTCGTCTGGTGTGCAGTCAAACAAAACCCTGCACTGTGCATTTCTCAATCTTATTTTCCTTGTCAACACAAGTAATAAAAGTAAACCCATGTGTAAGGAACGGGCCTGGACTCCGGGGTGAAGGTGGTAAAATGCCCTCTTCTCATCAATTTGGACACAGGGATAGGAGGTAAAAACACATGGATATGAAGTGTTGATAACATAGTTCAGAGAAGGAGCTGTGCTATAAATTGTTTACAGATAAAAGCAACTGAAGAACAAGGTGAGGAGAAAAGGTGTGACAGTCCATTTTGGACCGTAGGTGCCACTGCAGGTTTCTCATTGCAAAACTACGTTGTGTCCAGGCTGCTGGAGATATTATTCCCTTCTCTTTTATCTTCTCAGACAATACAAAACACTGAAGTAAAAACTCCAGGAGGCCACCCTCTCTTCCAAAGCCATCTGCCCTGCCAGGGGAATAAGGCATTCAGTTACTACCTTCACATGAGAACACTAAGAGTTCACATCTTCTAAGCAGCAGATCACACAGAGAAGCCTTCCAGCATCATCTTCTGTTTCCCTGCCATTATCAATCCTAAAAGTAGTAATGTGAATTTGTGACCCTGTACCCAAAATAATTTATTAACCTCAGTGGGTCTAGAACTTATCATCAAATAGTTAATTACTTTCTGTTTCTTTGACACTTGGGGAGACTGTGTGACTTAGTGGTCTGCCACCTTCGTTTTCCAAAAAACAAGAAAGAATGCATCTTACATAAATTTGAATGATTTTATTTCTTCTTTTTGAATATAGTAAATGCAGCAGTCTCCCAGCACATGCATCTCTCTAATCAAATATGTTAAAGTATATATACACATATAATAAAATGAGAAGGCATATGCCCCTGCTGAATATATAATTATGGAGCAATATGCAACTTCATGAAAACTGGCAATTTACTCTTTTGACAGTGAGTATTGGCAGGAGTGCAAAAGTCCATAATGCACTATCCCTTTAATGTAAAAAGAGGTTGAATGCAAGATGAATTTATTTTCTATTTTGGGGCAATTAAAAGGCACAGACATACTGTCCTGTCTTCTACCTCATCTACTTCTCTGACTCATTATTTGTGTCTTTAAATCATACAGAGTATACAGAAGAGACTGTCTCATTTCTTTAAGCATAGAACTCCTAGCACAGTGTCTTCCTGTCCAAACTGGCCCGTGATACATAATCTCAGATGCAGCTTTAATCACGTTGCCATCTGGATTAGCTACACGTGGAAGTAAACAAAGCCCCACGTGCAAGTGTTTACAAGATCATATCTCAGTTTTTCTTCTCTTCATCACTTTCCAGACAGCTTTGCCTTGTACTCTACCAATAACACACCTTGTTTGTTTATTTGTTTGGTTGGTTTTTGGTTTGTTTTGGTTTTGTTTTGTTTGTTTGTTTGTTTGTTTTTGTTTTGGTTTTGGTTTTGTTTAATTATTGTTATTTCTATTGTGTCCTGCTGGCAAGAAGTTTCACTCCATTCTTGTGAGGCTGTTTTACCTTGTATACCCAAACCTGAGTCCTTGCAAGGCAAAACTCAAATCTAAGTGCAATGAGACACAACTACATCCAATCAGTTTTCCTGAGACAAAAGGACAACTTGTGACATGGATTACTGGGTTTGTTCTTGTGGCTTTATTTTTTGGTGGGTTTTTTTGTTTGTTTGGGGGTTGGAGGGTGTCTTTTGAGGGGATGATTTTTTTCTTTCCTTTTTTTTTTTCCTTTTGGGAGGAGGGGCAGTGCTTTGGGGTTTTTTTGTTTAGTTGGTTTTGGTTTGGGTTTTGGAGTTTGGATTTTTTTCCCAGTTATGACACTCTCTGAATGTTCCCTGAAGATTTGCTTCCAGGAAGGTGACAGAAGTCTCTCCATCCATGTCCCCCAGTGCAGAAAACCATGCTGAATCAAACCCTCAAGCATTTTGGCCAGGTGGCAGCTCCCAAGTAAACAGCAGAGAGGTAGCTCTGTACTGACTGTGACATTTAACATCTCTCATCTAGAAGGCATATCACAACAAATATGCCATTGCTGTCATTGCTGCTGTGGAAGAAAGTTTGTGGGATAGAAGACATCAATTCACTGGTAACCAGGTTCACTAATTTTGTATCTCAAAAATAATATCTCAGTCTAAGTTAGAGACAAATGCTTTAAAAGCATCACTGCAAGATTCAGATTCTTGAAGAGAGAGAGGAAAAAAAAAAAAAAAGACGTGGTCTGAAACCACATTTAGGCACACAGGTCTGATTTGCATGTAGTTCTAGATGCAGATTTAAGCTTCTACTCTAGGAGGCAAGACACCCATTGCAAAAAGGTCTCCAAGATGCCAGGAGCTGTCACTGAAGGTCTGTTGGCAAGGCTGGGATGCAGGTTACCTCTTTAATACTCCCACTACAGTGAACATCCATATTTCTGCTCAATTTACCTCACATGCCTCCTGCAAAGCTATTCTGAGCGAGTCCAACAACCAGCTTGGTCTCTCCCCTTTTTTTAATACACCCGTGTGCTGCTTCCATTTCCGCCTGGGAGAGCACCTGTGTCGCTGGGAGTGCAAATATAGCTGGTGCTTTTTTGTTCCACTAAGGAGAAAGTGAGTAACTTCTCCTTCCCCTGTGATTTAGCTTCTAGTAAAATTTCAGCGTCTTCGTGATTTAACGTGCACTTGTATCAAGGGAACACAGCACTATTACAAGATACTCTCTCAACCCTGCAACATTCCTTTATTTCTGAACAAAGCAAGCAAGGCTGAATGAGAAAGGCAGTGAAATGGAGAGCTGTAGTTAAGCAAAGAAAAATATTTTGCCTTCAGGATACCTGTAGGTTATTCCTTACTATCTTTGGAACTCAGAGCTGTCATTTTAGATCCAGCTTTAACTGAGTCTCAGTAACTTGGACGTTTTCACTGGCATAAACATGAGCTCCACGGGGCCAGAGGTGCAGCAGGCTCCCAGAAAAGCTTTTTCTCTCAGACTATGGAGAAACAGCTATTTTAAGGTTTTAACTTCTTTGTGATGAGAAAAAAATAGATTTTTTTTTTTTTGGGGGGTGGGGAGGGGGAATGTTGGAGGATTTTTTTTTTTTTTAGTTTTGGTTTGGGTTTTTTTGTTTGTTTTTGATTGGGTTTGGGTTTTTGGTGAGTGTTTGTTTGTTTGTTTGTTTGTTTGTTTTGTTTTTAAAATTTAGACTTGATTCGGGCAGTGTTTTCGTTATCACCAGGATTTAGAGAGAGCTGTCGCTACCCGGCCGCTCCTTTGTTGTCGCTTCTGCTCCGTGGATACCGCCGGGGGAAGAGGAGGAGGAGGAGAAAGAGGAGGAGGAGGTGCTGATGGCAGCAGGGTCCTGTGGCAGCAGCCAAACCGAAGGCACGGTGCGTGAGTCGGTCGGGGTTTGGCGGCTTCTGCTCTTGGCTCCTTGTTGTTTGTTTGTTTGGCTGTTTCGTTCGTGTTTTGGAAGGACGGCAGAAGGTCCGGGTGGAGGAAGTAAGTGCAATGGGACACATGCAAATGGAAATGCCTGGCTATGGGGGGTCTTGTGCTTTCTGTTAAGGAATAAACTGCTGCTTTTTTTTTTTTTTCTATTCTTATTCCTGTTATTATTATCATCATCATCATCATTTTCCAGTAGTATGACTGAGGTTTAACTCTTTCATTAAAAAAAAAGGCATGTGAAGAGTAATGATGTCCAGCTTGAAGTGACATGGTTGAAGGACCTTTCAGTCATAATTACCTTCAGGACTTTGGAGCAGGGGGAAAAGACAGTTTCTTTCTGTTACGGAGATTATACAAATCCTAACCATTTTTAGGATTGAGCCTTAGAATTCCATACGTTTTTGCCTCTTTTTTATTTCCCCCCTTTTAATTGCGAGGGATCATTTTGCAAATATAAGGGATTATGATACTACTGAGTTATTGTACTCACACATGCCAGAGGAGTTTAACTTTAAATGCAGACAATTTCTTTAAATTTAGATTTAACCCTGTGTTGCACTCACTTGGTCTGATGATGGTGAATGCAGGGAGTATACAAATAGTGTCTTAACTCCACAGAGTAACCTAGCTACTTTCAAGTCATGATAATTGTGAGAGCAGAGGATATTTATCTATTAGAGGTTACTTGTTTTGACCTTTAATTAATTGCTAATAGCTTAGTCTGCTGCTGCTTGTTAGGCTGATGAAGCAGAGAAGTTACAACTTGTCTTTCTGCATTAATTGTTATTGTGAAGGTATCTCAGGATGTGTTTTGGAAATTCCAGATAATGGAATACTTTGTGTGCAGTGGTGACAGGCTCACTCAGGTACCAAACTCCTCTGGGACCACATGGATCAGCGGCTGCCAGATTTCCCAGTCAGATATTTTTTGTCTTGTGCTTATTATAGGCCAGAGGATTTTACAAGTAAATTCTGTATCAAGCCCACAGCTTCTGTGAGGTCTTCACTTGCATATCTGTAATAGGTTCCATCCCTGACAGGAGTTCAAGCATGCTTCAAACTGCCTAGTGGCTCACAGGCTTGAGCTCTGAAAGGGTGGCTAATATCTACAACTTTAAGCGTCTGTAATAGGGCTGAGAGCTATTTTGAGCTATCAAAATATGATTTTGCTTATGATGCTTATTAAAATACATCAGGATAATCAGGAACTCTTTACATGTCATTCTTGTGGCATTTGTACTGGTAGAGCCATCTTCTCTTTGCATGAGGGTGAAACACTGTTGGGGCTCTTCTGAATGACTTTGGATTTGCCATTTCAAAGTTCTTTGTTGTCTCTGGGCCGTGGTGCAAAAATGATACCTTGGTTTCTGCTGGTTTTTTCTCTGCCTTCCTGAATTTCCTGTCAAGCAATAGTTAGGTTCTGTTACACTGGTTGTGCTTTTTTAACTGTGGTCTTCACACGTGGTGTTATCCTTGTATTCGTGTGCCTATGCTGTTTCTGATGCCTCAGTTGACTCCCCAGATACTGGATGTATATATGGGTATGTTCACAACCTGAGTGTTTGCTTTGGAGAACATCAGAAGGGAAAGTAAGGGAGAAAAAGAAAACAAAAACAGCAGGGAAGAGAAGAAACCTGGCACGTTGCCACTGAAAGATGTGTTGTATCTATAAAAGGACAGTTTACCCTTGTCTGCTCTCTCTGTTCCAACATCTTCTTGAATTTGTATAGGATCTTCTCCTCTGCAATAAATACAAACTGTTTCAGAAATGTGTGTAGCATGAGAAACTTCATCTACATTTGAAAATACAGCCGGCATCTGCATAGCATGCTCTTTGCAATTCTCCAGGCTCTCTTGACACACATTTTAGAGGGACTGTTTTTGACAACCTTCTGAATGGATTCATCCTCACACCATCATTAACCAAATGAAGTATTACCCTAGAGATGACTCCAGCTAGGAAGAGCAGGCCTGGAAGAGTCATTGTGGGCATCCTTCCTTTAAACTAGAACATGGATTATAGACCGATGAGAAGTATGTGAGTGCATTAAAAAAGTAGGCACAGCAGATTTCCACTGCTGAGGAAGGTGTCTTCCTTTCCCTATGGAAACTGACAGGAAGAAATGCTTCCTGCTGCTTAGACACAGTCCTAAAGGGAAGAAAATTATTAGTGACACAGTGCAGGAAGGCTTGTCACAAGATCAAAGTACTCCAAATTGTTGAAGTGATAACAAGAAGTAGAACACTTATCAAGGAGTTCTTGCCTTACTTCTGTGTCATCCTTGCTGTATCAGTCCACTCAGTGCTGTGCTGTAAATATTTTTGAGTGCCCTTACTATGATACACCTCTTCAAACAGCATACAGTCTTGAATTTTTCTGTCCTGTGATTACTAAATCTGTTTTCACATGAATAAAAAGCAACAGGAAAGGGAAAAGAGCTAATGTCTCTCACTTTGCTCGCAGTTATGCAATGTAAACCAGAATTAATTAATAACTGTAATTATATTTTGTGTCTTGGAGATTCCAGAGTGATGTATTTCCAACTTCTTTTTTTTTTCCACCGTGGCAACAAAGTCAGCAAAGCTCTTAAACACATTCCTATTTTAAGCCTACCAGCAGTCCCTTTGACTTAATTCACTGAATGGCTGAGGGCAATTATTTGATATAAAATCCTTCCTGTCCTGATGGCAGTCAAAGTTGTTGTGGTTTTGAGGGAGGAGGAGTGAGGGAGAGGGGGAGAAGTGGTTTGTTCCTGAAACCAAGCATGGCTTGGCCACAGTTCTTCTGGGTAAAGTCTCAAAGAGGGTATTCTTATTCTTGTGTGTTAAAAATTCTGGTGTCTTGGTACTTGCTTTCATCCTGAAACTAAAGTGTTTTGTGGAAAACTAAAAAGTATCCTCCCCACCCCCCCCAAAAGTATCAGAACATTCTGGTTCGGCATTTCTAAGGTGAAATGTTTAGTTTCCAAGCTTTGTGTTTGGGGTCACTATTAATCCCATCATGAACCCACCTCAGTGCAACAGACTCCTTTCTCTCTTGAGTACCCTAAGTGTCTCTTTTCATTAGACTCCTGAGCTGGTTACATCTCCTGTGTGACACGGGTATCTCAGAGGTACTCACAGATTGATGGATCCCGTAAACTAAATTCAAATTATTTATTTTAAGATAAGAGATGAAATCCCTCACTAAATTTTCCCCAGTATAATGATGTGGTATTTTATGGGTGAACCTCATGTTGAAAAACATCTGTTTTTTTATGTGATACCCATTAATTCAAAGTAGTTTTAGAAGGCCTTGTGGATTCTCACAACTTTTAACTGTAATAAAACCATGTGTTAAATCTACCTCCAACAGGTCTGTTTCTGAGCTGGAGTATGTCTACATCTTGGCACTTTAGCATCCTTCCATACTTCCTTTTTTCTACCTTGAGCTTTTTCATTTCCCCAGTTTTATACCATTTTGCTAATATTTACCTTACCTAATATTTACCTAACATTTACCTAATATTTACCACCTTTTTCATCCCTTGATATCCTTCCCCTTCTAAAATGTTGGCAGTAGGGCCTGTATATTTGCCAACTTCATCATTCTGCTTTTATGTTTTCCTCTGCTTATTGTCAGCCCGAGCACTCTAAAGAGTTCAGGACAGGGATTTCAGTCACCCTTCTGTTTGCCCCCATGCTTGGACTACTGCAGTAATCACAGAGATATTTCTTTGATTCTGTCAGGGAGATTAATAAAGGATATAAAATTCCACGTTCCATGTGTTAGCGTGTTTACTTTTTATTTCTTCTCATTTACAGTTTATTTTGAATTGTGTCCCCTTCTTAGCAATGCATTTTATGTGAAGAACAAACAAGTTGGGCCTGGGACTGCTTAATCATACAGAGTTTTTCAAAGTCCAAGACATTTGTACTTGTAAGCCATGAAACAGGAATGAAATAATTTGGCTAAGCATCATGGACTACCTGATGTCCTTTTTGCATCTCAACACACTTGAGCTTCTGGAGGTGGCAAAGGGGCTACCTTTCTGAGCTACCTGAGCTTCCTACATGGGGAATGTCTTTCCTTGTTGCAGGGAGAAATACACAGCTGATGGAGAAACTGGTGGAAGAGACTTTTCTCATGAGAGCAGACTAGAGCTGGCTCTTAATCTGTTTTCCACAACCTCTCTGGTTTTGCTGTGATGGAGCCAGTCCTAAAGCTTTGTGGGTCTTTGAACAGCTGGCCAGGTATGCCAGACTTAGGCCCCACACTCTGAATTTGTCTCATGTCCCTGTGAGCTAGGGGAACCTTCACACACCATCCTGCTCCAAGGCACTTCCAGTAGGACTAATTTGGAGATAATTCAGTTCCCAAAGCTGAATCAGTATAAGTTACAAATGAAAGGGAGGGAAAAGAATCGAGTACCAGGGTTAAAGGGAATGTAGTCCTAACACTTATGTAGTTTGACTTAAATGGGGCAGGTTTAGTCCAATTGGTTCACTGAGTATCAGAAATTTCTGGCTCCTGAGACCATAGCACTCTAAGTGAGAGCTATACCTTCCTATTCTTATTTTTTCCCTTTTAACAGTGACGTTATTTAGAGCTGAGTGAAAACCACATCTTGCTTAAGGAGATGTAGAAGCACAGTGTGCCTGTAAAATTGCGCAGATACAGCTGCCTCCTTGGGTTCCTCTTTGGGTGCAGACAGGTGTCTGATCGCTTTCCCCTTGCTCACAGCTGCAGAGAGAAGCCTGCTCTATTTCAGGATCTGTATAGCTGTGCTAGTATGCAGCCCAGCCCCATATAATGGGTCCTTTGGGTACATTTAAGGACTTCTTAGCAAATAGGGAAGAAATTGTTCTGTCTCTACTCCAGGCTGCATTAAAGTCATTACCTCATATTAACTCATATGCCAGAAACCAGTCATACAGTTATGGACTGGCTGGAAGAATTAGGTAGATGGAGGTTATTCTTTGTCTGCAAACATTTATGTAAAAGTACCCTCCTTTGGCATCATCTCTGCCATGGTGTCCTGTAGTGACCCTCAGACTGGAGTTTTTCCAGA